TGGTGGGAGGCACCAACTGGGGAGCCTCCAATGGAAACCTCGGAGAAGGAAGGTTCAGAGCCAGGGGATTTGTGGTAGGACACCAAGGAGAGGTCAGAGAGAAAATATTGGAAGGTGGTGCTGGATGCTGAAGGGGCAACAGGGTTTAGTGAGCAGGACGAGCCTGTGAAAAGCAGTTCAGACTCCGAGGCCAAAGCAGAGGAGGAGAGGCGTCAAGAGATTGCTGAAGAATCCAGGGAGTCTCCCTCTCCTGCTGTTGCAAGCTCCCCTCCTCCCTGGTCTCCGAGAACTTGCAAAGTAATGAGAAGATCAGAACAGATATCAGAGGTGCGCAGGCACAGTTTGAGACTGCTTGGGAACCATCCAGGAGAGAAGGAGCTTTAGAGAGGGTGAAAGGAAGGGACCTTCAGTCCTGGCAACTGCTTCATAGGGGCAAGGCCTACTGGGCCATGTTGCTGAGACCACAAGGCCAAGTTGCATGTCCGTTTCCTTGCAGAAAGAGTTAACTGATAACTGATATCTACTTATTTTATTGCTGACCTGTGTCTGATTCCAGCCCTGACAATCTATGTGACAGTAGCAGGGTGGTCTCTCAGCATCTCCAGACAGGGCTAGAAAAGACCCCTGTGTGAAACCCTGGGCGGTCAGAGTCAAGGATATACCTGTGGGTTAAGGGTGGTATATAAATTCAATCTATCTCTCTATCCATCTATCTACAAATAAATAAAAGGATTAGGAACCTGTGGCCCTCCAGATGTTGTTGGATTCCAGTTCTCAGTCCTCCAGTCAGAATGTCCATTGATCACGGATGATGGGAGCTGCAGTCCAGCACCATACTGAATGCCACAGGTTATCTGTGTGTTAGAGACAATACCGAGCTTCGCTGAGCAATAAGACAGCTTCTTATGTTCCTGTGGAAATGTATTTGTTTATAGCATTTGTGTCCGAATTCTACAAGTTTGAGGCAGCTCACAACAATAATCTATAATAAAATAAAACGACATCCTCATGTAAAAATGGCAACACTAAAATTAAAAGCACAGGACATTGAACTCAGCAGATTATATCAGATAGGCATACAATATTTGTTTACTGACCAAAGGTCTTTCCAAACAGATATGTTTCATTTATTTATTTAGAAGATTTCTATTCAGTCCTTCACTAAAAACTCCCAGTGTGATAAAAGAAAATAAAAGAAGTGGTCATTAAAACAAAACAAAGCCATTAAATTCAAAAGAACGGATAAAAACACAGTTGTCAGGGGTTCAGGGACAGAGGCACAGGGTAGGCAGGAGATGGAGAGCGATGGGGATGAATCCCAGGACAGTGAGGAAGAGGATGACAATGACTCAAGAGATTCCATGAGTCTTTCCAGCGAACTTACGCTATATGCTGAAATGCCTGCACAATTTTTTTTAAGCCTTTACGTGGTGCCAAAACAAAACATCAAAGAGGCCTCCAAGTAAACCTCTCTGCAAAGAGCATTCTATAGATGGAGTGCCATGACCAAAAGGGCTGCCTGTCTGGTCACCGGCCCCCTAATGGCTAGGAGGGATGAATTCAACCAAACATTGTGGGATATTATCCCACAGCCTTGGAGCTACAGCAACAAATGCCTTGCTTCCTGTTGATGCCATGTTCACTTCATGCAATAAAGGTCATAGGAGAAGGAGTCTTGAATGGTAATAGGGGAGAGACACATATAGAGAGAGTGCTGACCCCTGAAGTTTGTAGGCTGTCCCTGGCCATTAGTACAGGTGTCAAATTCAGATCTGATGTTCTCTTCCCCCACCCTTTCTTACCCGTGGCCCTTCCACAAATACACAACCAGTGCCATCAGAGCTGACAGCACTGATCATTCATTTGGGGAGGATGTACAAGAAAAGCAGCAGGTGCTTGCTTGGCCTTCTTGCTGGGCAGGAAGAAGATATCAACATCTCTGGAGCTATTTTCTCCATAGAGGAAAATCAGGCTTCCCTAAGACAAGGTAAGGATGTGGGAAAGTCTTCTCCAACCTGGTGCCTTCCAGTTTCTTGGACTACAACTCCCATGGCTGCAGCTGAGTTGTAATCCAAAGTGTCTGGAGGGCAATTTAAATCTATATGGAAATATGTGCAGCGTGGAGGCTCAAGGTTAGGCAACCCATAAGGCATGAGGGGCTGATATCAGAAGGAAATATCCCTTTCCCACTATGAGCATGCAGGAATTGTTTCTCCTAATGCAGAGAACGATTTATTTACTTATTTGATTTCTTACTCATTCTTTACCACAAGGTCCCAGGAAGGATTACAAACCCAAACATTGCACATATTTCCATACAGATTTAAAGCTGTAAAAGGTTACATATATTATGAGAAATAATTTAATAATCTAATAGGATCTACTCTGGAAGGGACCAACATGGACTGTGTATTATTTGTGTATTATATATAGCATGCAAGGGAAGGAGAGGCTTGTGAAAGGAAGCATATGAATATAAATTGCACCTAACTGAAAACTATAGTTAACTGATGGACATGCAAGTTAATAATATACACTAATGTATATTGGGACACAGCTGCCGGTAAGTGTGCATTGTACTTGGACTTTCATTTGAGTTAAATTTAGACTTTTATCTGAGCAAACATGCACATGCTTGGGCTATATGGTTGGAGAAGTGTAGTTAAAGAAAGAGCTTGGCAATCCTGCAGGAGAAAACAACAACCCCATACACATAAAATTGGAGCAATGTGAACAATTATATGCACATGAGTAAGACATAATGGATTGACAAGTCCCACATTAAGGCTGCAATTCCGTACTCACACGGGTGAGATGAAGTCCTGCTGAACTCAGTGGGATATACCTCTCAGGAGATATGTTTAGGACTGCACTGTTAACTACCTCTAGCAGCACAAAGACAAGCTCCATGGGATGTTTATTTTTATACTGGACAGAAGACTATTCCACGCTACTTTCTATGACAGTCCTTTTCATAGAGCTGGGAATTTGCCGTTCTGGCATGCAAAATGTCCCATTGAGTCTTCTGGCACTTGAATACACATTAAGGAGATGTTTGAGTTGCTCTACCTTCTCGCCTTCTGGCTGCTTTGCAAGTACACTGGCGTTAACCTGAAGAAAATCCAAAAGTTTACCATTGTATGCCCAGTTCCTGGGGAAGAGGCTCTATAGAAATCACTGGGGCTTATTTTCTGTGTACACAGAGGTGAGTCTCAAGGTACTAGTGCAGAATATAAATGATAAAAGGGAAACATGGGATAAAATGCCACTCCCTGTGTTAGATCCTCTGTTTGGGCTTTTAACTTGCATATGCAATGTGGCAACATAACTCTTCCCTCCCAAAATGGACTGTGAGAAAGTATTCATTGCATCCAACATAATAAGGTAAGGAAGGGTATGAAAAGCCCGAGATGAACACCAGCTTGCCTTTAAAGTGGGGGGGGGGGGTGTCGCAGATTGAGAGATGTAGCTTCTGATTAAGGCACTGAAAGTGACAAGTGGATTTTGCTCGAAGACAAAAGACCATTGGTGGGTCCCTGCAGCAAAGCATTTGAGAATGGATTCCATCAAAAAGGTTCTAACTCTAAGGTTTGGATTTGTCTATGCATGTTCCTCACACAACAACAATTAAACTAACAAACTAACTAACAGGCAAGTGATTATTTGTATGTGAGGTACAACAAAGGCACTTGTAACAACACAAACAGAACTATCATATCACATCACTGCAAATGCAGTAAAAGTCAATGGAGGTAGTTCACATAATCAACTATGAATCATTCAGTTGTAAAGAGATATCAAATCATAAGCAAACAAGTATTTTTTGATATCAAAGCACCAGCACGCACCCATCCATACCTCTTAAGAAGGTGCGGTGGCCATCTGATCCTAAACACTTAATCCCTGAAGCTGCTGGGCATGTTCCCTGAGCTGTAAGTAGCAAGGGATTTGCAAGGAGCCACTCTGATGGCTAGATTCTTTCTAATCAACTTTCACAGCTCAAATTATGGGGTATTTCACTAATAGGAGATAAAGGAGAGATGGGACTTGCTGTATAAAAATTGATTCCAGAGACTTATCTCTGTTCAGTCTGGGCTCAAATTAACTCTTGGAGATTATACTAAAAATTAGTATTAACAATGCCCATTTTACAGGTGAAGAAACTGACACTTGCAAATGATAACACAGAGGATCACAAGAGGTACAGCCAAACCCTTTGCATGTTTACAACTATCACAATGCAAACTGGACTCACTTCCAAGCAAGCCTGTTTAATGACATCACACCTCAAAGTATTTTTACTCAGAACTAATTCAAGTATTTCAACAGGACTTGGTCCTTGGCAATTTAGGATTGCAGCCTTGGTATATTTTGTCTTCCCACTCCCATGTATCCTGTGGGAGATTCCTGGTGTACTCAGCACCTCACCTCAGATGGTGCTGCCAGTTTGGATCCACAGGGAAGTCCTTTTAAACAGAGAGCAATTCAGTAGAACTTCCAAGAAAGCATACCTAAGATTAGGTAAGATTAGATACCCCACAGCACTATCCTAGTACAGTAAACAGAAACACTCTGAAGAGTTTAATGGGATATTACATCTGTATCCACTGCAGAGATTTACTAAGAAATAAAGCCCCGACTGAATTCACTGGGTCCTATTCCGAAAGAAGTGCGGCTTTATTTGCTCAGTGAACACTCTTTTCAACCCAGCGGAAAATTTCTTTGTGAGGAAAGAACTTGTGCAGGACGGTACCGTGAAACGTCATTTGGAGCAAGTGAGAGCAGGGGATCCTGCACGCAAAGGAACTTCCAAGTGGAGACAGCGGGAATAAAATGCAACTGTTAGGGGGGAAAGTCTAATGTCTCTGGTCGTTTTTCGCTCCCCCCCCCCCATGCTGCTGCTATCCTGCATCATTCAGGCTGCTATCCCCTTTGCCGCACACAGTTTCTTACCCGGGGGGTGCGGAAAGCTCCATAAGCATACAGTGCGACTTTACTCTTTACCCGCGAGCAAGCACACAGAGCAGGATCGGGCTCGCCCCCCCCCCCCTTTCCCGGTCTTTCTCTTGCTTCAACCGCTCTCGGCTGTTGCCGCCGCGCAGCATCCCAAAGTCTAGGGAGCTGAGTCGACGGCGAGCGGGCTGCACAGAGGCATTACTGCCACTGAGCTGCGGTAGGGCCTGGAGCTGGAGGCGCCGCCGCTGCTGTTGCTTATTGCGAGGTGGGGACCGGGCGGTGGGGTGGGGGGGAGGCAGAGACGTTCGCCGCCGCTGCTGTGGGGGGGTTGGGGGGATGGGACGGGCTATGGCGCTTTCCCGGCTGCAGGGAAAGTGCCCGAGCTGGGAGAAGTGTTTCTCTTGCTGCAGGAGGCGGAGGCGAGGTTGGGAGCAGGGATCCCAACTCCCCAAGTTCCCGATTCGCCTTTTGGCGGCCGCGGGAGGGGCGGGAGAGCTTCCTGGCTGCGCTGCCATGACCTCCCGGCCACCTCCAGGCAGTGTTTGCAGGCTTCCTTGCAAGCGACAGCCCCTACCATGTAACCTGACCTGTGTAGCCAGGGGCCTGGTGGTGGTGGTGGTGCGGCGGCGGCGGCAGTAGCGCGCGGCCATTGAGCTTCCTCTCCTCCTCTTCTTGCCCATGAATCTGGTGCGTCTCTGTCTCTCTCTCTCTCCCTCCCGATATCCCCCCCCCACCTTCTTCTTCTTCTCTCTCTCTTTTTTGAAAACTGATCTTTGGCTCCGAGTGTGAAAGTGATTTGAATTTGGCTCGGCGGCGCTCTGCGCAGGCGTTCAGCTGCTGGCATGCTGGCTCTTTGCGAAGCAGCTGTTTTGGGTTTGAAATTCCAACATGGCAGAGGCTGCAGTCAGTCTTCCCTTCAAAAACTTGGAATGATTTCAAATCATAGGCACCTTCACTTAACCCGAGCCCCCATTCATCAGCGAACAGATAGGATCGATGCTGCTCTAACCTACCGGGCTTCTCTACCAAACCTCCAGGTAAGATCTCCCATCGCCGTTCGTCTCTCTTCATCCTCCCCCCCTCCCGTCCGCTCTGTTTAAAATTTTATATAATTTTAAATATATCCCAGGCGGCTACGGGCGCTTTAAATTTTGTGCGTGTGCCTTTTAAATATTAAATCTAAGCCATAATGCTTTAAATCTATATTTAAATATAGGACATGCTCCAGACTGGTTTATTCTTTTCTCTTTTTTCCCCCCGTTCCGTTTTTCTCATCTAAGCGCAGCGTGGAAAGTAAAGAGATAGCATCGCGGTGGATGGTCCCCCCCCCCTTCCTTGATCGTTGCTAACAATAGTCAGGAGCCCAAGAGTTCGCGATTGCGAGATTTAGAGCTTCCCCCTCCACCCCACCCCGCCGCCAAATCCACTTTCGCTTAAGTGGCTCTCTTTTATTTTTTCAAATTGGAGTCCAAGCAGGAACGCGCGGATAAGATGCGACTTAGGTGTATTGGGGGAACGAACTTTTAAGCAAATTAGTGCGAATGAGGATCGGCGGAAGGGGAAAGTTAGGGTTAAATTGCCGTGTTTTAGTTCAGGGTGGGGGGGGCGTGAATATGTCAAGAGAAGCTGATGCAGTAAAATGTAAGCACATCATCGTGGAGGGAGGGGGGACAGCACGGTGGGCGTATTGTTGGCTTGGAACGGAGAGAAAGATGTATAATTTAATGGTATATACAATCCACTGATCCTATTACTATTCTCCCTGGAGCTCTTGTTAGTTTCAATGGGAGTGAGTGAAATTGACATGGACTTGTATTCGTGGTCATGTGCTCTTCTCCCCCCCCCCCTTTCTTTCTTCTCTTGTGATCTGAGATCCCCTTTTTGTTGATGTTGCTTTCCCACTTAATTATATGCATGTAGGTTAAATGAATACCTGACGAAAGGGCCCACGTTTCAAGGCAGTGACATTTGATAGCTGAGAGGAAAAGTGGCTTTAATGAAAAGCAACCTTTGGAATTCCTGCTTGTGAGGAGGAGAAGAAGAAGAGGAAGAGGGGGAAAAATCCAATTCAGCTTTTTTGTGCTGCCAGCAAGAAATGATCAGTAGCACCAGTGTTTATGGTATGTCTGCTTTTGGGATCTATGTCTTTCTATTTCATTCTTTCTCTCTTTCTTTGCATCTAGATAATTTTTAAAAGCGCATGATGAAAAAAAAAATCTGAGGACTTTGCATGTGGATATGGCTAGAGATAAATGATGTTAATGGTAAAGCTTCAAGTGTGTAAATAAGCAGTTTTTGTGTGTTATCATTTTGTTTCTGATTTCTGCTTTGATTGTAGTGTTACTTTTGCTCTCAGTTGCAATGCTAAAGTTGCATGTTACCAAAAGTGAACTGTGTACACTCAAATACTATGTAAATTAGTAAACTCACTGACTGTAAAAAGGGGAGGGGGGAAACCCTGAACATATCTATGCCTACACTCACAGCAAATGTTTCCTTTTAAATTTTAAAGTAATAGTTATTGTTTCTTACTCTATACTACCGTTATATCTTTCCTCCCTCTACTTTTTTGTAGGTTTTAGATCAGGATAGGAAAATAAGATGATTCATAGGTGCACAATAACCAATTCTTCCGCCTCGCTCCTCCAGTTTTAATAACAACCTGTGTATTTTCTGTCCTTTTTTCCATATAGCTGCTTGTCATTGCAACATACTTTTAAATGATTGTAAGAGGCCACATTCTGCAAAACACCTTTAAAAAAATAGGCCTGGAGGGATCTGATGAAATGGGGCAGGGAGGATTTCAATATATTGCAGTTTACAAAAGTCCAGTTACAGAAGCTTAGAGAAAGTATAACAGCAGATTTTGTTTTGCGCACAAATGCAAAAATTAGGAATTTGTGGGGTGACAGAAGGACAGCGAATTGTCTCACTTTTACTAGTCTGTGGGAGAAGCAAATAAGGACAGAGCAAAACCTCATGGTCAGCTTAAGTACGTGACCACTGATCTTTCCTAACAAACCTGAATCCAAAGCAAAGCTTGAGTGCCAAATGTCCACTCCTATGCTGATGCTAGTAGGTGCCTATATCTCTCCAAAGTAACCCTGAGCCGCTGTTACAATAGGGATGATGATCTGATTATTATTATTTATTTATTTTGCATTTGGAACTTGTTGACTTTAAGGCGATCAATACAGCAACTGTTTATTTTAGATGCACATAATTTGCCCTGAGACATGTTTTTAAGGGGGAGGGGGGAAAGAGCAGGAAGACAAGGCTTTCTCTTTCTCTTCTCTCCCTGCCCCCCCCAACCGCTTTTATTTCCTAGAGCTGTTGGAGCGAATGTGATTGCCAGATGGGAGATTTCCCTCTGTGATGTTAAAGCTGTAATATATATTCACAGCAGATTGGACCTGCTGCTTGTGATGAGGATATTACATTTATAAATTTTAAATCGGGAATTGGATAGTGTGCTGAGGGCTGAAATTGGATGGGGTGGATGGTGGCCACTGTTTAAATGCAATTCCTGGATGATGATGATGATAATTCTAATAGTAGTAATACACAGTAATCATGGTTGGGTGACATTGCTTTGTATATTGTATGGCACTTGTGCACTTTATTCTCTCCCCCCAACCCCTCTAGGTCTGCCCTCTTCTCCTTCTCTCCACCCCCACCTCTACTTCTCAATTTCCTAGTAGAATATCTTGACCAGCAGAGTGATTTTGAAAGCGGCCGAGTTTTCGGGGAGGGGTGAAGAGGATGAGAGTGTGTGAGAGCACCAATGTAATCAGTTCTGCAACTGAGTGTGTGTGTGTGTGTGTGTGTATGTATATATATATCAAAAGAAAAAACATGATGCAGTGATTGTTGTTAGTAGATGCACCTAGTTGTTGTTTTGCCCAGTGATGTGGCGTGTCAGGAGCAGAACCCTGAAAAGCTGGAGAGTAGGACTGAGTCACACTCCAGCAGTTCTGCTGTTGCAAATTAAAAGTGTGTTGTGGTCAGGAAATGAAAGCTACTGTGTCTCTTTTGAACAAGTCATTTATCAAGGGGAACATCTATCAAGCAGCCACTTGTCATGATGATGCTCCAAGGGGGGAAAAGTTAGGTCTGAGTTGGGGAAGCTGCTTTGAATTGACTCCCCCTCCTCATCTGCAAAATAAAAATAAAAATGGACTTCTGTGTTTGTCACTCCCAGAAAGAAATTTTTAAGAAAAAAGAGAGTCAGCAGATCCTCCTTACACTTTTGGTTTTGAGTTGTTTAACATAAAGCTGTATCTGATATTTTCCCTATGATATAGATGTATATTTTAAGAATAAAACTTCAAACAGTTAGTTTGCTGCTTTTGCGCTTTAATGTTTGTGGTTCAGGCTTTATTTTTGTGTGTGTGTGCTTCCCTGCATTGCATCTTTAGGAATATATTTCATCTGGGGGACTTGATGGGATGAAATACATTCGTAAGTTTGTTTTCCATGTGACAGTTGCAAGGTTTAGACAGTGAAAATTAATCCCAGATTTCTAACCTCTGATAAATCTGCTTTTTGTTGTATTTGTCATTAGCTCTTTATCGGGGAAATCTTTCCAGTGCTGGTATTTATGCAAGAAATTGGGCATTACTTTGTACCACATCAGGAGACACGTTAAGAACATCTTTGCCCTTTCCACCTTCTCTTTGACAAGTGCACTGCATGTGGATTCTTACTGTAAGCATTTGTATCCTAGACAAGGATACATAGCTATAGATAACTCATGTCAAAAATACCATTTTAGAAAACCACAATATAGGTGAATTTTCGCTGGACTTTCAGAGAAGTTCTGAATTTTCTTTGCCAGACAGCTTTTTGTTAATAAGAGAATGAAGTATTCCTTGAAATCAGGCATTTTTTAGCACTCCTCTGTCCTTACTGAAAAACAAGTGCTATTTGTGGACAGTTTGGACCAGATCTCAGCAAAAATGCAATAGGACTTTGGGTGTTAGATTTGCTAATGAGTTGTGTCTGTTGCATTATTATGAAAAAGCTTTATTAATGTGTGATATTTGAAACAAGATGTGATTACTATACAAACTTGGTGCCCAGTCATCATTCCTTACCCCCAGACAAAAGAGATTTATACAACAGTAACCAGCTGTATTGGAGAAAGTGTGGGGTGTGTGTCAGTTCTGTGACACACAATATGGTATTTACCATTGGCAATAAGCATTGGCTTCAGGTACCATCCATATAAACATAGCAGAGGATGGAATACATGACCCCCACCATCAGTATATCTGATACATCAAGGAACTTTTCTCCAAGTTCTTTCTGATGGTAGCAATTCAGCATGAGAGCTTTATTCCTAATATTTTCTAGTGCATGTTGGCTCAGAATATATTCTGTGCCTTACATTAATACTGAGGTTATATTTATGTTCTATTGCTTGTTTTTATGATCACATGATTAATTTCAAAAGTTTATTTATTGATAACAGTGTACTGAAGAATTCTTTTAGTGCTTTAGGTTGCAGAACTTGAACTTAGAAATATAGAACTTAGAAATATAATTGTTCATTGTGCATGAAAATGCTGAAAGAGGGGTTTATGCATGCTTTAAAATATTGCTTTGGGAGACTGATCATTCTGATGTGTGTGTAGCTGTCAATTAGTTAGCTCTGTGTGTGTATGCAAGAAGTATTTGGGTGTAATGTCTGATCTTCCTGCAGTTTTAATCATCAATTAATCAGTTAATCTGCTTGTTTGGGAGCCATTTTAATGATACAAAATCAGCATGATAGCTGTATGTAGGAAACTCCCTTGCATGTTTTTAATCTGCTAGTCTCATTTAGCGTTGTTAGATCCGATAAAGGAAAATATTTGGCTCTTTGCCCCCAGTTAACATACGCTTTATAAGAACTTAAGTTTGCATTGTATAACTTTACAAAAAGCGCCAGGTTTATTGACTAATGTTTATTTAATTAACTGGAATTTCATCATGATTTATTGATGGGAGGGAATTGTTATACGGGCATTTTGTGAAGTAATGGAGCATTTTTTCTGTCAATCAGCATGATAAAGTATTTCATCAGCGTG